GATTTGGGACATTTTCAAGACAAACACTTTCACTAAAGAGGATTTAAAAGTCTAATTGCGCCCAGCGAGGGGCTTTGGGCCCCCCGGGAGGGAAGAAGGAGAACGGACCCTGACTGGGTCCTGTGGAATCAGCTCGAACCTGTCCTTCCCTGTATCCAATCCCGCATCCTGCCCCACCTCCTGCCCTGTATCTTGGCCCATCTCCTGCCCTACACCCTGCCCCATGCTCATCCCGCATTCTTCCCCACGTCTCAAGGCCCACAGGGTCCTGCTCCCTCCTGGACTTCCTTCCCTGGGAGCAGCTCCCACTGCCCCCGGCCGGGTCAGCTCTGTCTCCGCTCCCTCGCCCGGGCCCCCGGTGGGTGCTGCCGGTGCCCCCCCGCGCCCACCCCAGCTGCGCGGCCGAGCGGGCAGGTTGCTAAACAAGTTAATTCGATCAGGGCGCGGGGCTGGCGCGGAGCGAGGCCCCACTGTCGGGCTGCTGGAGCTGTGAAAAGTTAATTCAATTAAGTTTTCCCTCTAAACTAATTAGGCAGCAATCTGCCACGCAAGGAGCTGCTGGTGCTACCCAGAGCCGGGGGCAGCTGGGGGGGTGAGGAGGAGGAGGGAGATGAAGGGGGAGAGCAGAGGGAGAGGGACGTGAAGGGGAGTAGGATAGGGCGCAGCTGGAGGGTAGGGCCAGGGAGTTGCTCTGCATCCCTGCGGCTTCCGTGGATGTGGGTGATCCCTCTGGGTTTTGGTGGATGAAGGGAGATGGGTGCTGGCAGCAGGGGTGCCCAGCTGTCCCAGTTTGCCGAGTGGGAAGGGGGGTGGAGGTTGACACCTCCTGCCCACGGAACGGTGGCACTGGCAGTGGGGAGGGCTGGGCACAGCAGGGGAGATGGGAGAGACCCATGTCCCTCCATCCCATTTGGCACTAATGGGCTGCCTGTGGGCTTGGGGCTGTCTGTCTGCCCGGGACTGTTGGGGCCCTCCTGGAGCTGTGTGTGTGGGGTGATGGGACCCTCTCCAGTGGGACCCCCTCTGATAGGACCACTCCAAAGGGACACCTCCGATGGGGAGATTCCTTCCTGTGGGACCTCTCCAACAGGTCCCGTGCTGATGGGATCCCCTCTGATGGGACTCCTCCACAGGATCCCCTATGTTCACACCCCAGGGCCCCCCAGCTCTAGCCCCAGCTTGGGTGGGGTGGTAGCACCCACTCCATCACCCCCAGAACCCTCCCAGAACCCTCAGCCTTCACCACCCCGTGGAGTCCCCCAGGTTAATTGCTGGGGGGTCCTTGTGGGTCCCTCAGCCCCATGGCTGCTCCCAGTGGTGCTGCCACATTCTTCCTGGGGACAAAGCCAGCGTGCTCCGGGGTGCCCTGAGCCCCCATGCTGGCAGGACCCGCCACCCTGACCGAACAAGAACCAGCACAGGGCTGGGGTGCTGGGAATTGAATGTCCTTGGCACAGCCCTGTGGTTCTCCCTCCGAATCCCGTGCTCCCAGGCACTGCTCCTGGTGGTGAGAGCCCATTCACCTGCACTGGCACCAAGAAAATCACCTCGAAGGGTCAGGGAGGGCCCACGCGGCCCTGGCTCATCCCCACGGGCCGGTGCACACCCATGCACACACCCCCACCCCTGAGAGCACACCCCAGGGAGCACCCGTGCACAGAGGGGCACACCCACACACGCTCCTGCACACCTGCACACAGGCAGTGTCAGTGCACACTCACACACAGGCAGTGTCAGTGCACACTCACACACAGGCAGTGTCAGTGCACACTCACACACCCCCGTGTGCTCCCGTGCACACACAGGCACACCTGTGCAAACCTCAGTGCACACCCACGTGCACCTACAGGAGTGAACCTGACTTTGGAAGGCTCCAGCAGAGCTTGGTGATGCTCCCAAACCCTCCAGGGATGGGATCCTGCTCCAGTCCTCAGGATTAAGCCAGGAAAAGGCTGCTGGGATGGGAAGGGGACTCAAAGCAGCCCCCACCAAACCTCTTTGTATCCCTGGAAAACGAGCACCAGCACCAAACCCATGGGAACACAGGGGCAGGGGGTCACAGTGCAATGGGGACCCTGGCAGCTCGCTGCCACCTCCAATCCGTCCCTGTCCCCATCCCAAGGGATAGCGATTTGGGGCTCGGTAATCCTGGGGGGGTTCAATTTCCATCTGTATTTCATGTTCTACTCCTCAAAATCCATGGCTGGGGTAGCTCTGGTGGTGATCATATCCCCTATGCCATCACAAGGAGGTCCCTGGAGGAGCTCCTTGGGGGGCTCTGTGTTTGGACAGCTCAGTTACACCCAAGATATTAAATACTTCCTGGAACAAGGTCGGGAGAAAAAGATTCAGCAAGGATTTTGCACCAGGATGTCACCTGGCTGGGCTGGGGAGATGTGACAGTGATGGTCCCAGCTCACAGCTGTGTTCCCAGCTCCCAGTGACGTTCCTGGCTTCTGGTGATGAACAGGAGACACAGGAGTCCCCTGGGATGGGGATGGGTGATCTCCACGGCCGCTCCTTCTGGGGATGCAGAGGGTCGGATGTGTATGGCATGTTTATTGCCACAAATAAAGAGAAATGGGGACGATACAGAGCAGGAGCCTGGTGGCTTTTACACTCACACTCGGTCCCTGTGCCCACCTTGCCAGCCCAGCTATCCCAGCAAGCCCCCTCCCATGAGAATGACAAATCCATCCCGGCTCCTGCATGGTCCACAATCGCTTCCCCCTTCCTTAAAAAGCTCCAACACCCCGTGACACCTCAGGACCTTCCACCGACCCAACCCTGAATGGCACCAGGGCACCTCATCACCCACAGCTGCACCCCCAGAGAGCCCTTGGTGCCCACCCTGGGGCAGCTCCGGCCCATGTCTGTGTCTGTGCCCGTGTCCATGTCCGTGCCCGTGCCTGGTGGTGGCAGGACTGCGGCTCTGCCCTTTCTGACACCGCTCACTCTGACTCTTGGGGTATTTTATTGCCGCCGGGAGTGCCCAGTGCTGCCTACAAGAAGTAAGTGATGTTTTCGGGGTTCAGCGGTGCCTGGATCTCCAGTTTTCGGGCCTTGCTGTCCTTCTCCACGATCTCCAGCCGCAGGGTTGGCACCTTGGATTTTTCCGTGCTCTCTGTGCTTTTCAGCAGCTGCTTGTCTGAGTCCTCCACGGTGATCCTGAGAGTGCAGCCGTGTGGCAGCAGGTCCTGCTCATAGGCGGCTGCCAGCTGGTTCACCACGCGACGCTCCACCTGAGGGACAGACCAGATCCTGATAGGAAAACCCTGTGGGAAGCCTCTCATGGAGCCAAATAGCTCCATCCACCCTCGGGCAGCACAGGATCATGGAACCTCCTCCTCCATCCCACTTATTCCCTGTCTATGGAGTGTGGCTGTGCTGCTTCCTCCCTGAGACCACAGACATCTCCCCTGGGATGAGGAGGATGAGATCCACACAGTCATGGAATCATGGAATGGTTTGGATTGGAAAGGACTTTTTAAAGCTCATCCCATTTCACCCCACCACTGCCATGGGCAGGGACACCTCCCACTATCCCAGGTTGCTCCAAGCCCCGTCCAACCTGGTCTTGGATATTTCCAGTGATGGGGCAGCCACAGCTTCTCTGGGCAACCTGCGCCAGGGCCTCCCCACCCTCACAGCCAACAATTCCTTCTCAATACTCAGTCTAAATCTACTGTCAGTTTGAAGCCATTCCCCTTTGGCCTGCCCCTCCAAGCCCTTGTCCCCAGTCCCTCTCCAGCTCTCCTGGAGCCCCTTTAGGCCCTGCAAGGGGCTCTCAGGTCTCCCTGGAACCTTCTCTTCTCCAGGTGAACCCCCCCAGCTCTCCCAGCCTGGCTCCAGAGCAGAGGGGCTCCAGCCCAAGGAGTATCTCCGTGACATTCTCTGGACTTGCTCCAGGAGATCCAAGTCTCTTTTGATGTCTTTCCAACCCTCCTGGCTCCCCCTGGGCAGTGGGGCTGGATGTGACACTGAGGACTCCCCCCAAGTGCCCCCCTCCTTCACCTCGTGTTTGATGGAGCGGGCGCCGTAGTGCAGGTTGTAGCCATCGGCCAGCACGTCCATGACCTCCCTGTCCCACAGCAGAGTGATGTTGTGCCTCGCCTTGGCCTGCCAGGGGAGGAAGAGGAGGAAGAGGAGGAGGAGTTACGGATGCCTCCCAGCAAGCCTGGCACCCCACTCACTTCTTGAGCAGTGGGGGATGCTGTGGTGGGGTGCTGAAAGTCCCTGGGAAGGGCAGAGCTCCAACAGGGCAGGCCCATGGCAGCAAAGGGTCACTCAAATCCCATTTAGTCCCTGGAGAGCTCAGACACGCAAAGACCAATCAGACAGATGACATTTCTGAAGGTGGCTCAGAGCTCACCCCTACCCCAGCCCAGGAGGAACTGTCCTTCTGCCCCCAGAGGTCCTGACCCTCCCCAGCACCCCACGTTCAACAGCATGCAAGATGATGGTAAAGAGACACATCATTGTGTTCATCCCAGGGCAGAGGCTCTGGCATTGATTTCCTCCAGAGTTACTTTGAGAAGTCCCCTCTAAAGCCACTGATGGGCTTGTACCTTTCTGGCCCAAAAGCTGAGCTCCTTGTTGACCAGCTGGATGAGCTCTGAGTGGCAAAAAGGAAGAAAATAGACAATTTCATTGATCCTCCCCAGGAATTCATCCCGTCTGAAGTGAGCCTGCAGGGACAAGGGGGGAGGTCAGCAGGGACAGGGCTGGTGACCCCCATGGGGGACAGTAGTAACAGTGGCACTGCAGAGTGAGCTCCCTGGGGATCACCCGACCTCCCACAGCTCCCAGCATCCATGTGATCCCATGCCATGGAGCTGGACAGCACCCTGAGGTGCTTCAGAAACATCTTAAAGAAACCGAAGGTCATGGGGATGCTGCTGCAGTCAGGTTTTCCTGACCTTGGGAGAACAGAGAACCTCCAAACTGCACCACAGTACTTCCCATCCCATGTCCCTTTCACATCCCACATCGTGGCTCTGCTCCAAGAAGAAGCTGTAATTTATTTTTGCTGGGCTCTGACCTTGCTGAAAGGTCCCTCCATCATTTTTAGTGAAGCCACATCCCTTCTCTCACAGCTGGGAGAGGAACATGGATATCTCAGGGAAGGAAACTGGGACCAAAACTCAGGACACGTGAAACACGAGCCACGAAAACACCATCCATACCTTCAAAATGGGGCGAATAACCTTTTCCTTGAACTGCTTGGAGATGGTGATCTTGTCAGCCATCTGGACATCCTCTGGAAGAGAGGGGGACAGGAGGTGTCAGTGGGGACAGTGGGACAGAGGCTTCCTCTCTGTCTGGACAAGCTGGAATGGAGGGGGAGGGGGGCCTGGGGGTTGCTGCAGGACAGACCTGGGACCTCCACATGTGCCAGCAGTTTGGTTTGGCAGTGGCGTGTTCCTGCATTTGGCACTGTGGACAGCAGTTCTGGGTGTCATGAGGTGCCCCAAGGGAACACCCTGTGCTGACATGGCTCCCTCAATTGAAGAGCCCTGGCTCTGCCTCTGCTCCAGCCCCATGAGTCCAGGAGCTGCTCCTGGAGGTTTTGGGCAGCTGGAGTGCCCACTCAGGCTCCATGGCCACCGATGACGTGATACACAGAGCAGGCTGACCCCCTGGGGCTGCTCTGCCAGCACAGAGCAGTCCCTGGTCTCCCCAGCAAACACCAAACTCGTGTTCAGGGTGTCTGTGGCACTGCTCTGGCCGACCTCTACTTCCCTCTGCTGACTGCAGATGGAGCCAGGGTCTGGCTGCTCCTGAATCCTGGCTCCCAGCCACTCCGGATACTCGGCTGCAGGGTCACCTGTCTGCCTTTCAAGGCCACCTTCCTCTTTGTCTTCATCACCCCAGTTCTTGGCACAGCTTCACTCATTCTGCACCCCTACAGCTCTCTGTGCTGCTCAGCACCAGGATGCTCCCAGGGAGATCCCTGTGCTCTGGATGGGATCCCGACATGCAGGGCAGGGGAGAGGAGAGAGACCCACGCTGGGTGCTGGGAGCCCATTCCAGCTTTGCAGTCTCAATGCAGATCACTGCCCCTCACCAGCAGTGGCAGGAGGGGTTCTCAGGCTCCACTGGACCAAATCCAGTGCTGACACAGAACCATGGAACTGTTTGGGTTGGAAAAGCCCTATGAGACCATCGAGTCCAGTCATTCCCCCAGCACTGCCAAGCCCCCCACTAAACCACGTTCCCAAGTGACACATCTACATGGCTTTTTAAATCCCTCCAGGACTCGACCCCATCACTGCCCTGGGCAGCTGTGCCAGAGCTGGACAACCCTTTCAAGGAAGAAATTTTCCCAATATCCAACCTAAACCTCGCCTGGCACAAATTGAGACCATTTTCTCTTGTCCTAACACTTGTTACCTGGGATAAGAGACTGATGCCCACTTGGCTACAACCTCAGTTCAGGCAGTTGTAGGAAGTCAGGGGGTCCTCCCTAATGCTCAAAGTAGTGCAGGGCACTCTGGAATCCCCTCATCCAGTTCCAACTCCTCTGCCATGGGCAGGGATGCCATCAGGCCCATGCCAGTGTTCTGGCAGAGGAGAGCTGGGGAAGTCAGAGGAGCCAGTGCTGCCACCAGCATTCACATTTCCCATGTGTAGTATCTGCTGCTGCCGCTGGTGGATGTGGAGCCGCTGGGGAAGCAGCTCCTTCCCTTTATCTTTCCATTTATCTGCCCATCAGGCACTTAGAGTGACCTCCTGCCACCGCATCTCCATGCTGAGAGCCTGGGAAATGGGCAGGAGCTTCCTGAAACCCAACTGAGGGTAGCTGATGTGCCCAAAAGCCTTTCCCAGCTCCACTCCTGCTGCAGCTGTACAGTCCCAGAAATTAAAATTCAATGCTCTTCTCATTGAGCAGAGAAACATTTGGCATTTTCAAATGTTAGTCTGGAAAGTTCAGTTGCCGATGTGCTTTGTCCTTTCCCCAGCCTGACTGAAGTTTAAAGATTCTGAATTAAGTCAGTGTTGGAAGCCACTTCTCCAAAGGAAAAGGAAGAGACAAGGTGAAAGGAGCTGGAAAATAGATCTGATGCCAAAATCCAACATTTTTTCCCGCTCCTGTAGAACTGATGCAGGAATATGGTGTATCTGTGCTGGCACAGGCTGACGGATACCCCGAGGAAGATGTGGTGTCCAGACTGTTAAGATCATAAATTTTAAGTTTTCTAAGGCTGATAAGAAAAGAAGGGATACAGTCACCATCCAGGGCTGCCTGGTTATCCACAGGCGTGGCAGCAACTGCTGGGGACTGGCCTTCCCTCTGCTCCGTGTGACAAACACTGGCTAGAAGGCATGGTCCAGCTGCTGGAATCACCATCCACCTCTCCACCCTTGGGCTTATCAGCAAAGGCACTGGAGGTTGCACACTGAGTTGTTCAGTTCCAATCTCAGAGGCCTCCCTTGCTCTCCTCAATTCCCCTTTTATTACCTAATTCACATTTTGGGAAGTTTTTCTCCAGGAGCCTAATGTGTGGGGCCAGGGCTCCCATTTCACAGGGAAGTAAAATTGTTTAAGCTCAGTCCTTTTGGGAAGGACTGTGAGGAAACAAAACTCTTCCTCTTTAATATAAACCAGACACAGGTTCCTTTTCCAGGAAGTGTTTGAAAAGGTCCCAAAAGAAAGGGAAGTGTGAGGAGGTAAGGGGAGTCATGGAATCCCAGAAGGGTTTGGGTTGAGAGAGAACTTAAAGACCATCAAGATCCAATCCATGTGCTCTGAAATCCTCATTATTTGAGATTCCATCCCTCAGAGGGAGATCACACCTTCAGAGAAGGCTCTGTCCAAACTCTCAGCCTTCCTTATCCTGTGCTCACTTCTCTGGAAGTGTTTCAGGCCAGGCTGGATGGGGCTTGGAGCAACCCGATCTAGTGGAAGGTGTTTGCCCATAGCAGGGGGTTGGAACGAGATGAGCTTTGAAGTCCCAACCAACCCAAACCACTCTGTGATTCCATGACTTCCTGCCAGAGGAGCATTCCCCAAGTCATGTGGACCAGCGGGGACCAGTGGAGAGAGACTGAAGGGTCTGGGTGTGCCCCCTGAAAAGTGATGCTCAAACTGGTGTCAAACGAAGTCATATTAGGAAGGTGGGAGATTGTTTAGGGATTTGGAGAAAGACACTGAAATTCCAGCACCTAAGTTTTCCACGATCCTTTTCTTGCTCATCTCCATGGCCTCTTGCCGGAGCTGCAGAGCGTGCTGTGCGATCTCCTCGCTGGCCACGTTGGAGGTCATGATGAAGATGGCATCCTTGCAGTCAATGGTCTTCCCCTTCCCATCTGTCAGCCTGCCCTGCAACAACAGTGACACGGCGTGAGCAGCGCCAGCAGGTGCCACAGGACATGGCCAAAACCCCAGGAAAAAGAACATGGGTCTTGTCTTTCCCCAGAGTGTCCCTCATCCCTGTGGGACTGCCTGGCAAACCACAGCTGCCCAGCACCATGGTGGCATCACCCCTCAGCCCCCCAGACTGATCCAGGATCTCTTCCAAGGTACTGGTGCTCTTGATTAATAAAATAAAAAAGAGAGGAGAATAAGGAAAAAAGCAGCATCTCCCCAGGCTGTTTCTTTCCTCGATCCGTCTCCAGTAGCAGAGATCCAGCACAATGACACAAATCCTTGTCGGGTGCTTGAGATTAACATTTGGGTTATTGCCCTGTCAAGTGCCTGGTACAGGAATTGATTTCACATTGAGCTGCTGCTGCGATGATCTATGCAAGAAAAATGATGTTATTAATTCTTAAAAGAAAAACAAAAAAATCCTCCAAAACCTTCCAGTATGTTGCTCTGGAATTTGGTGGCCTCTGAGAACAGACCAGGACCTTCAAAATCAACCAGAGAGCTGGAGAAGGACTTTGGAAAAGGGCCTGGAGGGACAGGTCAAGGGGGAATGGCTTCAAACTGCCAGAGGGTAGGATTAGATGGGATATTGGGAAGAAATTGTTCCCTGTGAGGGTGGGGAGGCCCTGGCACAGGTTGCCCAGAGAAGCTGTGGCTGCTCCATCGCTGCAAGTGTCCAAGGCCACGTTGGATGGGGCTTGGAGTAGCCTGGGCTAGTGGAAGGTGTCCCTGCCCGTGGCAGGGGGATAGAACAGGGTGAACTTTAAGGCCCCTTCCAACCCAAACCATCCTGTGATTTGATGACTCTCTGACTCCTCCACCCGTCATCCCTCGCACCCCTCACTGTCACCTTCTGCACGTCCCTTGCACTGACTCTCACCCCAAAATGCAGCTTTACCTCATCAAACAGCTGCAGCATGATGGTGAGCACATCTGGGTGGGCTTTGTCCACCTCGTCAAAGAGGACCACAGCATTTGGGCACTGCCTCAGCTTTTTGGTGAGCTGCCCACCCTCTTCATGGCCCACGTAGCCGGGTGGTGAGCCGATGAACTTTGCCACCTGGGAGGAAGGAACAGGAGAGAAGAAGGTTGATCCATGGACACTGGGAATGAAGCCCTCCCGGTAGCTTGGCAGGCAAACACTGCTCTTTGCTGCTGATAAATCAAGTTCTGTATTCTTTGTGACACCTATCGCACCCCAGGTATCCCAAAATCAGCTTAATAAGCAACAATTAAGCAAAATAAAGATTGTGCAATTACACTGCCCAGAGCTTGAACCAGTACAATTCAAGGAGCAGGAATGGGCAGAAGGGAAGACACCGTTCCTGCTTTGCTATGCAGGGTCTGAGAAACCCGTCTCAGATGTCCAAGACCTGTTTTCATCCCCTTTAGCCTTTTTAAGAGCAAGATTCAAAGGATTATGAGTGGCAGGTGGCTCTGGTGAAGAATCAAAGCTTGGGAAGAGGCTACAAGTAAAATAATTTTCCTATGCCACCACTTCTTGAAGCTCATCCAGTTCCAACCCCCTGCCATGTGCAGGGACACCTTCCACTCCCACGTTGCTCCAAGCCCCATCCAACCTGGCCTTGAACAGTCCCAGGGATAAGGCAGTCACAGCTTTTCTGGGCAACCTGCCCCAGTGTTTTACCGCTCTCATTACTAGGACCTTTCTGCTTTTTGGGGAGACAGAGCCCTTCAAAGGGATTTCGGACATGACCCTGGTGAGATATCCCACCTCCCCTGCAGCACCAGAATTGGGCAGGTGTGACAGGAGGGGTGGACTTGGCACCACCATCCTGTATTCTGCTGGATTCTCCTCCTTTCCTCCATGGAAACAGGCTGAGATAGTGATCCTGCACTGGACTTGGCAAGGTTTTGGGGACAAGGGACTTTGGGTGACTGCCTGGGTGTGGGTGGGTGATGAACAGCATGTGGCTGCAGGTATTCATGCACAAGGTGACCCTCTGGATTCCACAATCTCTTCTCAGCTGCTTTCTCCCCAAGGGCTGACCTCACGTACAGAGCCCACAGCGCTGGACACATCCAGTTAACGCCTTCCCTGCTCCTCAGCGAGTGAGCAGCAGCCTGGTTTGGAAAGTCTCAGGGGGAGCACTGAACTGAGGAGTACCATTCCTGAACCACGACACTCAATTGAAGTTGCTTTCTGCAATTTAATTGCAATTTAGTGCACAACTCAGAGCGACTCCTGTGACTCTGTCATGCTTCCCCTCTGACACTCCAAAATGCCCACTTTTTCTGGATTAAACTCAAAGCTGACCCCCCCCACCCTGGGCCCATTTACTGACCTCGTGCCTCTCCTGGAACTCTGACATGTCCAGTCTGATGAAACCCTGCAAGAGACTTAAGATGAGATTTGATCAATCTGCTCGCTGCCAGAGCCGGAGCAAAACTGATGGGGCTGAAACTTTCTACACAAAATGGATATTCCTGTGGTTCAGCTTTTTAGAAATCAATCACAAGAAGAATGCAACAACACCCCTCTACAAAAATCCAGTGAAAATCATACAGCTGAGGTGAACTTGGCTTGTGGGTGATCATCTGAAACAAAGAATATTGTTAAAGAATTCACAGCTCCCACCAAAGTTTCCATTTTGCATTTGAAAAGCTGCTGATTCACTGCAGGTACTGAATGTCCTGGTCTTGGAGCTGTAATCCAGCTCCTAGAAGGGAAGGAAAGGGAAGGGAAGGGAAGGGAAGGGAAGGGAAGGGAANGTGGCTGCCCCAGTTACGGCCTTGAGAGAAATTCCCTTTGCCACAATAACTGATTTATTTTGGTTGGCCAGCTGTGAGGCAGCTGAAAGTGGGTGAGCCCTGCCAGACTCATTAAATGATTCCCAATGTTGATGGAGGACTTTATATTGTGGTTATGAGAGCAGGAGTTTCAGTATTTGCTGGAAAAGCCTCTTTCCCGAGGGCGAGGAGAACGGGGAGGAAGCTCTCCAGCAGGACCCATGTGCAAGCAATAAGGGCAGGAATGCTCTCGGAAACTGCAGCTTGGAGGATTTACTTTGGCATCCTTTGGGTTGCCTGGGAAGCTCTTGGGAAGAGCAGGGGTGCTGGGTGTGGGGTTTGGGCTGGCAAAGGGAATTTAGGCCGTTTTTGTGGTGCAGGACCAAGGCACTCCGGCTCCTGGATGCTCCTGGAGGAGGCATGAAAACATCCAGCTCCTCATTTCCCTCTGAGACAAGTGCTTGGGATGTTGAAATGGAAATGTGGCTGTGCAGTGGGACATCCCTTCTGCACACAAAGGGTTTGGGGCAAAGCCAGTGCCACCCTTGGCACCAGCTCTGCCTTGGTCCCAACCACTGGGGAACATCCCAGCTGGAGAACTGCCCCCAGTGCCTCTTGTTTTCCCACCAGACCTGTTGTGTTTTGCTTTCCACAGCCAGCACTGATTTCCTTGGGAATCTCAAGCTTGGTGTCGCTCCCTTTGCCACAAGGATGATCCCAAAAAACACCAACACCTACAACCAAGGAGGAAAGAGTGACCCAAACCCAAGGTATGGCCTGAAAATGATGATGTCAGTGTGACCAACCTCAGCTGGATGAGCTTCTACTGTCTCATCTCTTCCAGGATGCTGTGAAGAGGTGTCAGAGGGCAGGAGATTCCTGAAGAACCAACAATGTGGCACCAGGAGAAGCCCAAAACCTCAGAGAGGAAACCTGCCTTGGTTAAAGCCTTGGTTAAAGTAACAGGGAGGCAACTCTGCTGGTGGTGTTCTGAAATGTTTGCTTCTCTCTCTCAGCCCTGGCTTTCCACCTCTCAGAGGTTAATATTATTTATTGGAGCCTTTTTCTGTTTGCAGAGTGGCTTTTCTTCCCTGTGGTTTTTGGGTGATAACGGGAAGGTCGGGGCTGCAACACCACGTGGGTTTGCAGGATTGCAAAGGGTGGTCCAGAGAGAGAAGGGGAAGGGGAAGGGGAAGGAGAAGGGGAAGGGGAAGGGGAAGGGGAAAGGGAGAGACCCCTTTCAGGGAAGAAATTTTCCCAATATCCAACCTAAATCTCCCATGGTGCAACTTGAGGCCATTTTCTCTAGTCCTGTCACTTGCTACTTGGGAAAATCACAGAATGCTTTAGCTTGGAAGAGATTGTCAGGACCATCCCATTCCAACCTCCCTGCAATGAGTAGGGACACCTTCCACTAGACCAGGTGGCACCAAGCCCCATCCAACCTGGCTTGGAACACTTCAATTAATATTGTTCCTGTTACTGCTCATTTCTTGTCTCATTAGTGTTTTCAAGTAAGTTGATCTTTGGTCAAGTTGGAATCTCTGCTTTTCGTCTCCCTCTCACTGGAGGGTGTGGGAAAAGGTAAGCAGCTGAGTGGGGTTTAATTTCCAGCTGAGTTTAAACCACAACAAATGGAATAGAAAGAATGGAATAGAAAGGAAAGAATGGAAGGGACTGGAACAGAAGATTGGGGTGGAATGGAATGGAATGGAATGGAATGGAATGGAATGGAATGGAATGGAACAGGACAGAATGGAATGGAACAAAACAGAACAGAATAGAATAGAATAGAATAGAATAGAATGGAAGATTGAAATGGAAGGGAGGGGAACAGAAGATTGGAATGGAATTGATTTGAATGGAAAAGAATAGAAAGAATGAAATGGAAGATTGCAATGAGATTGGGGAGCTCAACTTCAAGTGCTTTGTGCCTTAAGAACTCAGACAACCGCAAAAGTATCCTCCTGCAAAGCCACCACCTCCATGAAATAATTCCAACCCATCTTCCCCCAAAACTGTCCACTGGGTAATGAGCTAAATCACTCAAACAGCTTCTGGATACCAAACATTTCATCATTTAAAATCCTGAGCAGGAAATCAGTGTCCCATTGCCACAGTCCATACCAACACGATGTAACAAGTGGTAGAGGTGGGGACGTGGAAAACAGATTTCTAGAATTGTATCCTTCTAACAATTTACAGTCATATTAGTAACAGAGGAAAAAAAATATGTTCACAACACAGGATGTCAAAATGAGAGCAAGATCCAACAGGGAGCACAAGTATTGTTAGATCCATTTGAACTTTTACCATTTAAATATACTGGTGACATAGACAGGGACACTCATGTCCTGGGCTGATCCCACAGCACGGGCAGTAGGGCGAGGTGGGGATTCTGCCCCTCTGCTCTGCTCTGGTGAGACCCCACCTGCAGAGCTGCCTCCAGCTCTGGAATCCCAACATCAGAAGGATGTGGAGCTGCTGGAGCAAGTCCAGAAGAGGCCAAAGAGATGCTCCATGACCTTCACGGGTCACTTTCAGCGCAGCAGAAGCCCGTTCTCAGGGCAGCAGAGCCAGACAAGGAGCCCCCCCAATGAGCTGCCCCTGGCCCTTTACTGACAGCACAGAAGCTGGGATGAGCCATTACCTTTTTGACGTCCTTGTGGATGTACTTGGCCGTTTGCTTGGCCAGCTCTGTTTTACCTGTTCCAGAGATGGAAAGAAAAGACTCACATTAAACCAAGTCTGTCCATCCTCTGTCCTGTCCATCAGCTCTGTTAGCACCAGGGCTGGAACTCCCTGCAACCAATACATTTGTTTTTCTTGGGAAGCAGGTACTGCTGTTTTATCTCTGGGATCACTCTACTGGGGTTCCTGGCCTCGGCAGGGTGAAGGGGTGCATTAGGAAAGTGGCATCTCCACACTGGCTGCTTCAGCTTTAATTCGTTCTCAAAGGATGGGCGCAGAGCTCTTGATTTTTTCCCACAAAAAGATGTGGAGAAAAAGAAAGAAAGGAAGGAAAGAAGGAAGGAAGGAAGGAAGAAAGAAAGAAAGATGAGAAAGAAAGGAAGGAAAAGAAAGACCCCATGGAAAGCCATTAGAGTGGAAGAGCCAACAATTTACATCCCTGAGCCTTCAGACCTGCTGTAAGTAGGGCAACGAAGTATCAAAAACTTCTATCCTGGTTTTATACAGCTTTATAGCAACTCATTGGGAGTTAATGCTTGGCCTGGCACTGCTCTGCAGCAGGAGCCTGGTCTTGCCTGTGCCCCTTAACCCCCCCAGCACTGGAGCATCGGTACCTTCCCGAGCCCCGCGGGAGGCAGCGGAGGCGGGAGAAGCCCTGAGGTTGTTCCAAATGTCACAGCTCAGTTACTTTAAAGCTGTTTTGCTGGGGATTTTTTTGCCACAACTAAAAGTCATTTGGATCATTTCATGAACTGATCAGCTGTCGTGTGGCATTTGATTGTGCTGGAGGACAAATCTTATCGGTGTCAATAAAATCCTGTCGTTCCAAAGCAATCTGTGCCCACAGGAGCAAGACGAGCAGAGATTCAGTTTGCAGGCAGCAAATTTCCACTATTACCCCACCATTCCCACTGGAATAGAGGGGTTCCCACTGGAAAGCTGTAAACATAACACTTTCAAGCTGCCCCTTTTTGAGACTAGGAGGGTGGACTGTCCCCTGGGATAACTCCCCATGAGGCTGGACGTGGCCGTGGGTGTGCTGGTGTCTGGCTGTGGTCACCCTGTGGGACTATGGGTGACAAGTTGGAAGGATGACAGTGCTTTTAACGGGTATTTCATGCAGACCCTGTGGCTCTGCTGCAGCTCCCGCCCCCTCTCCTCGGGGCTCTCCGTCCCCCTCACCACAGCCCAAACGTTACCTATTCCAGATGATCCCAAGAAAAGAAAGACCAGTGGGTGCTCCTCATCATACCAGCCATTTTCCTTCCTCCGAATAGCTGCATTTGAAGACAATGAAAACAAAAAAGAGGGGGGGAGGCATATAAATCAATGCCACAAAGCAAGTGTAATTATCACTAAGTATACACTATGTTTTACTGCTCTCTACCCACTCCCAGTCCTCCCTGCCATTAGTGCTCTCTAATTTGATTAGCCAGCCAAGGCCCCAGAGATACCTAATAAGGTTAGCATGGATTTGGAAAGCTGCCCAGAGCAGATTTCGGATAAAGTTTTCCAGGATGTGCACTCAGCGTTGCCAGGGAGACAGAAGGGAGGGGGGACAAGGATGGATGGATGGACGGAGGGATGGAGAGGCATGCTGCCTCGCCAGCTCCCCAGTGCAACCTTCCTCTGAGAAAAAAGCAGGTTTGAAGAGGTTTATGGGTTATTCCTGGCATGGAATAGGAAGAGGAAGGTGGTTGAAGGTCACAAACAGTTTGAACTGGTGCAAGGATTGGGAAAGGACTGGTGATTATTGCTGTGCCTCCCTGGACAGCAGCGTCCAAGTGCATCCTGGGTGACACACCAGTGGAAAATTTTACAGAAGGCAAGAGCCCTGATTCTCTCCAAAACTCCTGGTCCAACCAGCACAGCCCTTCCTCACAACAGACATGGATCTGCTGTGCAGAGTGGGTGATGGCTCCTACCCCCACGGGTGTCCACAGCTCCCTAAGGTGCTTTTCAGTCCCCCAGAGCAGCCCCAGGCTCTGTAAGAGTGTTCACCAAACCAGCAACACCACTGCACTGGGCTTAGCTGGAGGAGGAGGAACTGCTTTTGAGGCCTAAAGATCAAACCTAATCCTCTGCTGGCTGGATCTGAGCTCTGCAGCAGAGAAGTTCTTGAGCTGGATCAGATCAGTTCCTGGTCCAATGTGAGAGATCAAATGACATCCCAGCCTTTCCGCTTTATCCACAGTATTGAAATTCAGCCTGTATTCCAGCTCTGCCCTATGGAATGTTGTAAGGTGTTTTATGAGAGAGAACATACACTGTACAGAGTGAGGAATGACAGCAAGGTCCCACGATGGGCACACAGCGCTGCTGGATCCAGCCTGACCCAAGATGTGGCACATTGGGAAGCAGGTCATGAAAAGGGCAAGACGCCCAAAAATGATAATCGACAGGATTTTGAAAGTAGCAGGGCAAAATAGCTGTAGCTTGACCACAGTTCTGGATTAAAGCTCTTGGAATGCTCCTGCAGATGGCCACGGCAAGGCTTGGCCTCTGCTGCCTTTCAATGGTGTCCATAGCAAAGGCAGGAATAAAGACAAGAAAGAATAAATGCACTTCTCTTTGTGACCATCACCCTCACACCACAGTTCTCTCATCTCCTTCTGGCTGCTACCCTGGGCCCAGCCTCTGTCCCTCAGCCCTGTTCTCCCTGGAACGAGGCATCAACTGGCTCCACAGGGAGCTGTGGATTTGTTTTCTTCCCGAAGCTGGCAGGAGAGCATGAGAGTAACATTTAAAACTGGGGGATTCTGAAATTCAACCTCAAAGTCAGTCCCTAAAACCCTTTATTTGATGGAGTAGGGGAAAACAAAAGATACCTAAGAAAAGGCATCATAGGCATGGCATGCCAAGAGGGCAAACTGACATGGGAAATACTGAACAAATAGTTTGATTTTGCACGTAAAAAGATTTGCACATAAAAATATTTAACCAATACTTTCATTTTGCATATAAAAAGAAGCGGAATGATACAGCCTACAGATGGATCTGCCAGCAGGGGCATGCTGGGAAGATGTTAAACAGCAGCAGCTCCAGTGAGATACTCCAGCAGCTGGGTTGTATGGCTGGGTGGAGAAGCCCCATGGGAATTAGGAGCTGCAAAACCTGCATGAAAACAAGCTCCTCAGAGCCCATGTTTGTATTCCAGGAGACCCAGGCAGGGTGGGAGCTGACAGATCCAGTGAGGATTAGGAAAACAAGAGCAAAGCCTCACTGCAAGAACAAATCAATGAGCTGAGGTTAAGTAGGAGGGGTGTGAGGAGTGACCTGACTACAGTCATTAAGGATCATCACACGAAGGCACCGAACTCGCTCAGCTACAGAGAAAATTAAGGTGCTCCAGGGCCTGGAGTGAGAGGATCAAACTAGAAATAAAGCAGAACAGTTTTAATAATGAGGGTGATTAACAACTGCAGCCACTTAGGAAGAGAGTGGGACTGAATCCCTAATCCCCGCCGAGTCTGCAGGGAAAACCAGGAGGACTTCTCAAAAGGTAGTGGTAGCTCAGTATGAAGGTGAAGGTTTGCACTGTTGCCCAAATAGCCAAAAAAGCCCAAATTAACCTTAAATCCAGGGCATGTAGGGATCTTAAAGACCATCAGTTCCAACTCCCATGGAAATGGGACTGAGCACTAGGACTGTGCATTTAGTGGACCCCAGTGCTGTGAGGATTTGCCATTCCATGCCCGGACACAATCAGATGCATTTTACCCATCCCCTTGGCCACGCTAATGAGTCCTGACTCCTGTCAAGGCTTCATTAGCTGGGCACAGAGCCAGAGGCAGCACAGGCCGGTGCCTGGCTCCATCTCACCCTGCCCAGGCACCTCAGCACGACAGACCAGCCTGGCTGCAGCCGGTGATGTGGTTCTGTCTGAAATCCTGGGCAAAGCCTGGTGGGAATCCCGCCCTGCCCTCCAGCTGCTCACTGGCCATGTCACCCCCCAGAACAGCCACCCCAGGAGGACGAAGAGGAGGAAATGCTCTGCCACTGGCAGGGGGGTACAGAGGAGGGTCTGTGCTGCATCCCTCTGTGTGCCCTTCCCAGTGCTGCATGTGCTCCTTCCCAGCCCTTATGGCAGCGAACAGGAGGTCAAACCCCGGGGTGGGGATATTTTATAAAAATTGATAGGGAATAACACGTTCGCTGATAATTCCTGCAGCCATCTCAGCTAAGATAATAACAGCAATAAAGGTAATAAACTTCTGCTTCAGGGCATGGAGTGACCACTAAAGGGGTCAGCACGTTTGGGGTCCGAAGTCAGCAGGGTTAAGTGCTGCCTTCTTTCCCTCCCCTCTGCAGCAGGATACCAGAGTTTATGGATAAATGCTCAGAGCAACTCCAGGGATATAAAGCACCCCATAAAAAACTACCATAAAGTTAGAGCTTGAGATTCAGCATGTGATCCCTATTGAAAGGTGCCGAGCATTGTTTTTAGAAAGAAATTCTTCCCTGTGAAGGTGGGGAGGCCCTGGCACAGGTTGCCCAGAGAAGCTGTGGCTGCCCCATCCCTGGAAGTGTCCA